ATCACAGAGAACTGATTTCTTCTTCATCGGCAGATGTAGATTTTAGATTTCCTTCTCTTGAGTGAAAAGCGAAATACCTCCGACAGAATTATTGTGAAAATTTATAATTAAATTTCTGTTTTCGAGAGAATGCTATTCTAAAATATGAAAATTGGATTTTGTGAATTATTAAGTTGACAATGTTGCCCTTGAGAAGGAGAATGCTTGGCAATTATTGACTAGCAAATAATAGAAAACAGTTAAGAAATAATAATTATATGTATTAACATTAATAAAATGTTAAAAATAATAAGATTGATGAATAATTAATAAAACGAGTGAAGTTTAATTAATTAATTATTAATAAATAATAATTGACTATTTAAAACAACAATTAATATTTTTAATTATCGTTTATTTATTAAAAAGTTGATTAATTGTTTGTTAATTATTTATAAATTTTTTCAATAATAAATAATTATTATTGTTTATGGGTTGCAATGATTTCTTCTCACTTTTCTTCTCATTCTCATTTCTCACTCTCAAACTCTTAGAACCGGTGAACAGGTTCACTGTTTTCACTTTGCGAACTCAGGCACCGGTGGTTGGCGCCACCAGAACTAGGTCATCTCTCTCTAGTCGGCACCGTTTTCATCTTCTATTTTCTTAGTTCTCACTTTTCTTCTCATTCTCAGTTTCTCATTCTTAGACTCTCAGAACCGGCGAACCCAGGCACACCTTTTTCACTCTATGAACTCAGGCATCGGCGGTTGGCACCACCAGAACTAGGTCGTCTCTCTCTCTCTCTCTCTAGCTGCACCGTTTTCATCTTCTATCTTCTCACTTTCTTAGTTTCCATTCTCTCAGACTCCTAGGAATCGGTGAACTTAGGCACCATTCTCTCACTCTTAGAGGCGAACTCAAGTATCGACGCTCAGACTCCCAGGTTGGGTTTCGGGCTCGGGCCCGGGTTTCAGGCTTTTATGAGGGCCAGTCTCGGGCCAAAGTTGTATGCCTGTTGGTCGGGTCAGGCTCGGGCTCGGGCTTGAAAAATTTCTATTAATAAAGAGCAAAAGCTTGGCCCAGCCCGACTCATGAACAGGTAGTTCAAACCAATGGTGGAACTAGGAATTTTCTCTGGGGAGAGGTGAGTTATATAACTGTTTTTGGCTTATAGTAATGAATAAATAATAATTAATAAGCCAAATTCTTCCACTTCTTGGCTCCCAAATTGAGGTGTACCTGAAGATTTTTTTTCTTGATCCTAAGATGGTTGTCAGCTTGTGCAAAGAGAAAAGGAAATGGAAAAGGGGCTTAGAGTTTAAGAAAAAGTAGAGAAGAGATAAAGGGAAGAGGGCGTTCGAAAACAAAATAGACAGACATGCATAAATACAATAGATATTGGTTTTATTTTTAGAAAAGACTAAGGAGTACAAATATGTAGAATGCAAAACCTTGTATTTTGTATTATTTTGCATGTATTTGCACTGTACATATTTGTATTTGTACTCATTCCAAGGCTCAGTTTGGAAGGAGTATAAATGCAAATATGTAGAGTGCAAATCCATATATTTTATAGTATTTTGCATGTATTTACACAGTATATTTGCATTTGTACTATTTCCAAACTGAGCTTAAAAAATATAATTTTTTAATGGAAAATTCCCGATTAATACCCTATACTTTGGGTCTAGTGCCACTTTGGTCCCCGAACTTTAAAACACAATTAGTTCAATACTCGAACTTTCAAAACATGCCAATCTAGTACCTATTGTTAATAAGCCGTTAGGTGGCATTTGAAGAGATAATGCCCTTCGAGTGTTATCTAATTTTCTTTATTAACCACCCAAATGTTGACAAAAAATGAACAGTCCCAAATCTTTGCCTCTTCTGTTCAAGAAAGTTGGGGTCACTAGAATGCCCACTGAGATGTGACCCCAACTTTCTTGAATAGAAGAGAAAACGATTTGGGATTATTCAGTTTTTGTCAACGTTTGGATGGTTAATAAAGAAAACTAGATGGCACTTGAAGGACATTTATGTCTTTCAAATACCACTTAACGACTTATTAACGACAAGTATTGGATTGACATGTTTTGAAAGTTTGGATACTTAATTGCTACGTTTTAAAGTTTGTGGGGGGGGGGGGGAAGTGGCACTAGGCCCAAAGTATAGGTACTAATTTGGAAATTTGCCTTTTTTTAAAGAATTACTAATAGGGGCTAATGTCATGGTTATTTGGGTTGGATTGCAAAAGTTTGGGGGAAAGGGAAAGAACACCACATTACTTGCTTCCCCACCCACCCTCCCCTAATAGAATAATAATTTTAAGAAGGCTTCGACTATGATATGGAAAAGATATGATATCTGAAAAACAACTAACCAAAAAACTGGAATCATAAAACGTTGTAGCGAATAAGGTGTTATTTATCAAAATTCATGGGGGGTTTTGATTGGTCAAAACTCTTTCCATACCATATCTTTTCTGCATCATAGATTTTCCCTTTTAAGAAAAAAAAAGTTAAGGACCCCCACCTTATTACCTAGCTCCCTTGGTTCAAACATTTTGATTGTTTGAGTCAACAGGGTAATGGAGTCTAGTAGAATCGTGGTTTTGACAACCAAATCAGACCGTATGGTTGAACCAATTGACTTGGAAACCGATCATAGGTCTAAGTACAGTTTTAAACCCCAAAACCATTAAGCCCGGGTTTGACCAGACGGTCAGACTGTTTAATTGGGGAATTGATGGCGAAAACAATTCCATTTTTGGTCCTTTTTATATCTTTTGAAGAACTACACAACGAGGGTAGTCCATCCCTGAACCCATAACCCCCCCCCCCCCCAATTCGATCCCAAGTCTTTGTCCAACACCGCCACCTCTGCCCACCTTTGCCTCCGCCTCCGACAACATTGCCAAAGATGGGTGGACATAGAGGAATAACCACCAGCGCCATCGCTGCCACCTCTGCCACCTTTGGCAACATTGTCGGAGGTGGAGGCGGGCGACAGCGGACGGCAGTGGCGATGAGCAAATGGCAAGAAGAAGAAGATGAACAGTGTTTTGCCCTTTATTGATATTATTTTAAAAAAATTAACCTATTTTTAAATTTTTTTAAACCCCAAAAATTGCCCTTATATGCTAGAAACCCTTTTTTTTTGAATTCTCATTGATTATATTATTTTATTAGTACCATACTACCACTTAGCATATATATATAGAGAGAGAGAGAGGAGAATCGGAGTGTGAACCAAGAGACTAGGTTAAAAATCAGAAACAACTTACTCAACTTTAGCAACTAAATATATGAAATCAAACATTGATTAATTTACATATCAAAATCATATTTTCCAAAAAAAAAAAAAACAAATTAGAAATCAACTCTGGGACGACTCTTTCTTAAATGATAGAAATGCATATAGTGGTGGCTCAATTGCTTCTCATGTGATGCATTATGAAGATTAAGACATATGACTGAAGCACTTGTTGTGAATTGAGGAAAGTTGTTAAAACTGGGGCTCATGCATATACACGTGTTGTAAGATTTGCATATAAGAGAGGGACACCACAGATAAAGTTTAAATTATTAGGTTATGGGCCACTCTTGTACCTAAGTCCCTTACACTTATTACTTTGTAATATGAGATTCTCTTCTAACCTTATCTCAATTATATGAGCCATAATCTCTAAATCTTATCTCAATTATATGGAATCGGTTACATGAATCTTGTTTCAGTACTCTCTTTAGTGCCATGCTATCCTAGGTTCAAAACCAAAATCAATCCTATGAAATAGAAAGAAAATAGCTCTATACTTCGAGGATGTGGGGCTCAGATTGTCAATGCAGAGAGTTGCAAGTGTTGTGAGGACAATTTTTGTGAAAACTGAATCCAAATTCATACTTATCATAATGAGATTTCATCTTGAAGGCTGTAGTGAGTTAGGTCATTTGTCATTTCATGCAAAATAAGTCAAAAAGTTTTTGTCAATTCTATAATTTGGATCCTTGGAAGTCTATAATAACTAGGGAAGAGCAGGGCTGATTTGGACCGGGGGATCGAATGTAAAATCAAGATGAGCCCAATTTTCCGCTTCCCGAAAGTTGTGTTTGGTTTTTAGGGGAAAAAGTAGGAAAATGAAAAAAAATCTTTATAGACCTTGTATAGGTTTTTCTACCATTTCCTTCAAACCAAACATAGCCTAAATGAATTTTTCTACCATGGAAGTATGAATTAACTCGCACAAAAGACAACATACACTGAGTACGTTAACTGAAAGAAGATAAAAAAGCTACATGCAACGCTCCGTTTTTCTTCAATTAACTAAAAAAATCATGCATAAATTTTTGGTGTATGACTGTACGTAGGTGATTCTTATTCGAGTCGGGATATAATCTTTTATCAACAAAACACATTCCAACCCCCCTGAGATATTTCTAATACATAGTTGGGATGTGCTGGCTGAATGCACTCCATAGCCCATCCCTTTTGTATATTGGGAACATCTCTCATACTTGTCATGGGAAGATGTTCCTAATACATGGAAGAGATGAACATTGGGGGTGCACTGGCTGTCCAGAGGAACTGATAGGCACACTTGGTGAGCAGATTGAGTAAACTACATAAAACATTTTACTTATGAGACTATATCTCCTACTCATAGGAATCCTACCCACACTAAATCACGTTCACTACAACTGCATATTGGGAACATCTCCCCATGAACAATAGCATGTAAATACGGGAAATATTCTCAATATACAGTTGTAGTGTCATATGAATAGGTATTGGTAGAATTCTTGTGAATAGGAGATCTGACACCTGTTGTAAGAATGAATGTGAAGTGGTCTGAGGTACCCCAAAAAGCCAAAAAGTGGTCTCGATATACACTCCGTTTGCCTACCAGACATGGACTTGACTGGCCCGACCAGCCGAGGGCCGCCTTTTATGTTGTCCTTAGTAATCTTACTACCCAAGGATAAAGGATTGCAACTATAAATTGCAGCCCATATTTTCTTCTTTCCCATGTAAATTAAAGTATCAGGCCTTTAAATGGAGCTCCGCTTCTCACCTATCTCTGCTTTTCTTCCGGTGAGCTTATCTTGTTTTAATTCTTTTTTTTTTTTTTTAATCTCCTTCAATATAATATATAATTCTAGCTTACCCAACAACAATTTATATATGCAGCTCGCATTCGCACTTGCAGCAGTTATGGTAGTAAGCCATGCTGCCCTACCTTCTGAAGTTTACTGGAAGTCGATATCAACCAACACACCCATGCCAAAACTAATCCAGCGTCAACTACGGCCTCGTAGTTTCCCTATATATATATATATCCACTTGTTTTTCTAATTAATTTAAGTATGGTTTTGTTTTGTTTTAATAACTCTATTATATTGGGATGGGTGTTGCTATGACATAATGCATCTCAATTCTCATACCCATTTCACAGCCCCATCCTGCTATAGCTGTATATTAGAAACATTTCCCATGAATAATGAATAATAATAATATAAGATACGGTTAGGAGGTGTTGTGAGGATCTGATCTGATCCGGACTCTATTGCTATTGCCTATTTGGATTTTGTTGATGTTAATAAACTTTGATCCTGCTACTGTTGGTTGGTTTTGCCGTTTGCAGATCTAAAGCTGCCAACACAAGCCAAGGTGTATCTGGACTCCACATCTGTGCTTCCAACACAAGCGAAGGTATACCCAGCCTCCAAAACTGTCCTTCCAACACAGGCCAAAGTGTATCCAGATTCCAAAACTGTGCTTCCAACACAGGCGAAGGTGTACCTAAACTCCAAAACTGTGCTTCCGACACAAGCGAAGGTATACCCAGACTCCAAAACTGTCCTTCCAACGCAGGCCAAGGTGTATCCAGACTCCAAAACTGTTCTTCCAACACAGGCCAAGGTATACCCAGCCTCCAAAACTAAGCTACCAACACAGGCCAAGGTGTATCCAGATACCAAAACTGTGCTTCCAACACAGGCCAAGGTATACCCAGCCTCCAAAACTAAACTACCAACGCAGGCCAAAGTGTACCCAGACTCCAAAACTGTGCTTCCAACACAGGCCAAGGTATACCCAACTTCCAAAACTAAACTACCAACACAGGCGAAGGTGTATACAGCTGATACCAAAACAGTGCTTCCAAGTCAGGCGAAGGTATATAAGATTACCAACTATAAGGATCAACTCCATCTTGATGGAGATGTTGATTTTTTCTTCTTAGAGGAAAACTTGCACTCTGGCACAAAAATGAACCTGGACCTCTCCGGAATTACAAATGGAGAAACCTTGTTGTCTCGTCAAGTCGCCGACGCCATACCCTTTTCTTCTAACAAGTTACCCGAGATCCTACACCGATTGTCGATCGAGCCAAAATCAAAAATGGCGGAGGCCACGAAGGAGACACTGGAGCTGTGCGAGGCACCTGCTAAAGAGGAGAAAGATGACCTCTGCGTGACATCTTTAGAATCGATGATCGACTTCAGCACATCAAAGCTTGGGAAGAATATTGAGGCCGTGTCGACGGAGGTTGGTGTTGGTAAGGAGGAAACGCAGAAGCACAAGTACGTTGTGGGTCCAGGCCTAGAAAAACTAGTTGGGAGCCCTGTTGTGTGCCATGCCCTGACCTACGCCTATGCTGTGTACTACTGCCATAAGGTTGAGGCCACAAGGGCATACATGGTTCCGTTGGTTGGTGGTGATGATGATGGGACCGGGACGAGTAAAGCTGCTAAAGCCGTGGCCGTGTGCCACACTGACACATCCAGATGGAACCCTCACCATCTGGCCTTCCAATTACTCAAGGTTAAGCCTGCGAGTACTGTTCCCATCTGCCACTTCCTTCAAGAAGATACCATTGCTTGGTTTCCCACCAGCCACAAACCACTCAATTAATTAATTTCGGTATGCTTTTGTTTAGTTAGTTTGTTCCAGTAAGATCGATCTGAGCTTAATTTCACAATCATCTAGAGCTAGCTCGTCCCCTATGTAACTATGTTATGTGCATGACTTTGTATAGCCAGATCGATCCATCACTGCAGCAAAAAGAAATAATGGATAACCTCAGATCCATTAATAAATAAATCTTTGCTGCTTGCTTCTGTTGTCCTGTGTTGGATTGATTGTAAGTTTCAGGTAGTTTTGTGTTGTGTTCAACTACTGTTGAAAGGTTAACGTTTCTCTGGATGTATATCATTATTATATCAACGCTCAGAATTTGGCTGGAAATTAATTCAGGAAAAAAATGAATTAATTCCCCTAATTAAAAAATACTATAATTAAACCAACTTAAATCCATTTCATATTCCAACAAGGGAGAACTGAGAAGTGAGAAGGGCCTCCCTCTATTAATTTCGTGTCTCCGTGGAAATCATGCATGAAGTACAAGTAAGGATGACCGGGGCGGTGTGGGGAAAATTCAAAGATCCCCGTTCCCACGGAGATGGGGATGGAGTAAAATTTTACCCCCGCCGGGGTTTGGGACAGGGATACATAGAGCGGAGCATTTAAATTCGGGGTAGAGGCTCTCTCTAGATTCATTACAAAGCAAAAATACCATTATGCCAATGAGTCTTTTTTGTTTTTGATTTGGACCTAACGTTCTATTAAGTATTAATTTTGGACATTAGTTCATTATTAAATGATGTGGAGTGAATTTGGGGACTAGTTGAAAACCAAAACTATTAATCATCTATCTTTCAGCATCTCTCTCCTTTAAGAGAAATTATTTATCTATTTTTTTATTTTTATAGTTTTATTTTGCATTTTTTTTTTTGTTTTAAAAGCATAAAAATCAATTGTTGTTTATCTTGATTAAATTAATAAAGTTGTATACTATTAAAGGGAGATCTTTACGTTTTTTTAAAGCCTCTTAATACATATTATTATTACATTTAAGAGAGATAGAATAGAAATAATATAAGGATAAATTTTTTAAATTATCCTTACTATTAGACTAATTGACTAACTATACCCTTACATTATATTGTCTTAGAGTATTTTTAAGTTTTTAAGATCCATTAATATTATATTCCGTCACAATTGGTACACATGTGATATCATGTGACTTATAAAATTTTTAAAATCCAATATTACCCCTTTGGAAGAAGGTTATGAATTAACTCTAGCGTACTGTCTCGAAATCGAACGGCTGATCTGAGTTACCCTTCCTTCCAGCACTCCATTTTGCGACAGCAGCGTTCGAGGATGCCATGAACGGCTGATCTGAGTTGGCTTGAAGGATCATAGAGAATAACTCAGAAGCCACCTCGAAAAGGTTAGGCGAAAGGTAGTCCAGTGCAGCGATATTGTCATCTGCCCCAGTAGGTGGGCAAGTAGATTTCAAGCTGCTGAGATACGTCTCGCTGAGCGGATCACTGCCTGCAGTTTCCTGGAAGTCTCCATAGATCCTCTCTCGGAAGTTCACGCATCGAGCCATGCCAATGGTGTGTGCACCTGTAAATTTGCAGATAACAGCTAGCTTTATTAATTAATTACTCCATCCAACACTAATTATTAGATACAGGCGAAAGGATTATTCAGGCATTACCTACAAGAGCAACCATATCTGTAACTGAGAGGCATGGATACAGGAACTTTGATATGAGACTCAGAAGACCCTGTTCAGGAGTAGGTAGGTTCGAGGTTGCTAGGCTGAAGCTTGCAGTTCTTGAATCTTTTCTACCCAGAGGAACGTCGATTACGGAAATCTAGAGAGAAACAATGGAAGTAAAAACTCTCTTGCTGGTATTAAAAAGGTCAAACAAACAATTTCTTTTCATGAATTCTGGTAGTCCACCTCCTTTGAGCTATGCGGCCTTCTTCGCAACCCCCAACCTGGCATGGGCGTTCCACGGTTCCGTCTCCGAATGGTTGACTGTCATGACGAACAAGAAACAGGAAAGGGGGAGGGGGAGGGGAGAGTAAAGGGAAGTTTCTTCCCCCCTTTTTTTTTTGTTTTATTTTGAAAATTTGAAGAAGAATAAATGATAAAATAGTCTTTCTCGTCTTTACACTAAGGGAAGTATTAGTCAATTGTCAGAATAGGTAGTGTTAGTCAATTTTCAAACAGTAAGGGTATATTTAGTCAATTAACTAAGTCATAAGCGTAGTTTAAGAAATTTACCCAAAATATAAATAGGTCCAGGTTAAACAATCAAAAAATTATTAATTTAAAATCAACTAAACTTTCATTAAAAATAAATATTAACAAAACTTAGTAAATATTAAAAATGTTTTTCAATTCCACTTAAAAATCAAACTTAATAAATGCTAATAAAAATAAGAAATTTAAATATAAAAATATTAATTGATAGCTTTAATAATATTATTAGATAACTTATGAGTTAAGACCTTTATTGTGCATAATAAACTCATTAAAAATGATAAAAATTAATACAAATTTAAACTGTAGAACCCATTTTATTAATAATATTTTATTGCAAAAATTACTAAATAATATTAAAAAAATACCAACAATTAATTAAAAATAAGAAATTTAAATATAAAAATATTAATTGATAGTTTAATTAATATTATTAGATAACTTTGTATTAATGNTGAAAATTTAAAATGCAAAACATGTTTTATTAATTGTATTTTATTGCAAAAATTACTGAATGATAATGAAAAAATACCAACAATTAATTAAAAATCTGGAAAATTCTGAAAAACCTAAACATAATTAAAACATTAAATAATTTAAAAATATTAAAATTAATAATATTTTATATTAATAAGGGTATTTACTGAAAATAATTAAAAAGTACATTTAATAGTATTTTATTATTAAAAATACCAAAAATTATTAAAAAATATCCAAGCCAGAAATAATTTAAAATTAGTTGTAATTTTTATTAACTATGGTATTTATTTAGTTATTTAATTTATTTTTACTGAGAGAACATGCAAATTAAATTTGTAGTAACTAATATGCAAAAATAAATGCTGAAAATACTCGAAATTATTGAAAAACACTCACATTCAAAAATTCCTGAATAATAATGAAAAACACAAAAAGTTAAGTTAATTGAAAATCCAAAAATTCTGAAAACCTAAAGCTTAACTAAAATACTAAAAATAAATAAAAATTAAATTAATTGTATTTTATTGCAAAAAACACTGATAATTACCAACAAGTTATGATTAATTACTAGAAAATTACATTTAACTAGTTTTAGCCAAGAAATTAACAATATTTCTAAAAACATGATTTTTTTTTAGAAATTGTTGTATTTTAAATAAATACAGTAATTTAATAATTTATTTTAATAATTACTAATAATAAGTAACAAACCATTATAACTTAGCATAACCTGATTAGATCTATAAACTTGAAGGCTCAAGCAACTATTTTCTTTTGAGTTAGGTCAAGTTGAGATATGCACCATGCCTACACATTATCAGGGATAATAAGATTCGAAGTCTAATTGGGTATCAAACTTTTGGAGTCCAAAGATGGCTTTAGTGGATAGGCCCCAAGCTAAGCAACCCTAATAAGTTCAACTTGGAAGTTATATGTATATATGGTAAATATTATTATATAATATTTAAATAACAAATTTTATACTAATATATATATATTTTTATACTAGACTAGAATTAAATAAAAAATTTAATTTGTAAAAAATCATAGCTTAATAATTAACATAAGCCTCTTTATCAATAAAAAATGTGCGAGCCTAAGCCCGAGCCCGAGCTAACCATTGGGCCTAGATCTTAGCTCGAGCCCAGACCTTATATAAAGCCTGAAACCCAATCTGTACACAAAATGTCTTATTTTCAGTATACTTTTATAAACTAATATTATATTAGTTTAGTAATAATTTAATAAATTAATAAACTAATTTATATTTCCTAATAGTAAATATTTTGGTTTCTGTATTTTTGTTTGTTTGTTTGTTTGTTTGTTTTTTTTTTGGTTAAATCCGTTTTTGGTTTTAGTTTTTAGAATTATAAATTCGGTTAATCAAAATTTCTATTATTATATGTAATATATGATATATAATATATAATATGTGACATATAATATATAATATAATTAAATTTGTTTCACAATATATATTTTATAATATATAATATATATAATAGAGTATATATTATTAAAATTCGGTTTGACCAAAAACCAAACCAAAAATATATAGAAATGTTATAATATTTAGATAACAAATTTCGTATTAATACATACATACATACATACATAAATAGTTTTATAATACATACATATATATATATATATATATTTTATATTAAACTAGAATTAAATAAAATTTTTAATTTGTAAAAAAATCATAGTTTTATAATTAACATGGGCAATCCTGTAAACCTATAAAAATATTATTATACTTAGGGTGTGGGCTAGGTTAGGCCAAGCAATCTTAAAAACTGTTAAACCCGAAATTTTTAAATTTTCAATTCATCAGGCTACACAATGTGAGTGGCCCATCCCTTATAGTTCATTTGGCTTCAATATTATTTAAAAATAGTTAAAAAAACCTAAAAATAATGCATGCATGGGTGCACTTGGTTTTGTGACTTTGGTCTAGTCCAATTTCGAATGTTACGATTCATGCAACTTGAGTCGGTTGGGTTAGGATGAGGATCAATCCAAGCCTAATCCAAAGTCTTAAACCTTGAATTTGGGCTTAGATTAATTTACTTATGACTATAGCCTAACTTTATATATTTACTGATATTTAATTATTTTAAATATTTAAGTGATATTGACAAAAAATTGAAACATTTAATCATTAATAAAGCAAAATAAATAAAACAGAACACTAACAAATAATGTGGAAAAATAATTATTTTATTAAGTAATTAGCAATAATTATTATTTTTTGCTAAAAATATTAATATCATTAGTCCAAATTACTAAATTACTAAAACATTTTTGTAATTAATTATTAAAACACAGATTTAATTATTTTAAACAACATTACATTTTTTCCTTAGTTATAAGTATTGGTTGTTTCACTTTCCTTGCTAAATCCCTTGCATCACACGGGTCCCCCTAGTTAGCATTTATGACTGAATAATTGAGGAAAAATCGTTTTATTAACATAAGTTCTTAAATCATATGTTTCTTTTCCAATTAGGATTGTTTGAATAAACCAACTCTTTCATATTTAATCAAATTTATAGGTTAGATTTGCCTTCATTTGCAAGATACAAGCAAATCTAGAATTTAAAACAACTAAATCAGCATGGTAAAGCAATGGATGATTATGATTAATTAATTGAAAAAGGACTCTTGAAACCTAAACAGTAGAAGCTAAGAATAATTTCCTTGGAAATTGTTTTAATGGTTTGAAAGGGCAAGGTAGCAGTGGTTGTAACTAGAGAGAGAGAAAGAGAGAGAGCTCTAGCGACTAGCTACCTGTCCCTGAAATGAGAGATTTTGGAGAAATACACGGAGTGTTTTCCAATCCAATTCTCCTGATTAAAATACTATAAACCAACTCTTAATCCATTTCCAATTCCAAGAAGGGAGAAGGGCCCCTATTCTGTGGAAAACAGAAAATGGTGATGGATAGTAAAGAAAGAGAGAATCTCGTTTGACTTTATTATTTGCAATTTTTCTTGATTCAGGTTTCAGGGTCCATGCAGCTCAGGGAATTAATTAAACACATACCACGCTAACAATATCACATGCAATAGACTTCTCCTTTCGTGGCAAGTAATAAATAACTCCTTATGTGGCAAATATATAGGAGAGACAACGAGGTGACATACTTTTAGGACGGAGTAGCTTTCTGTTTCTTTAGTACTTCGGAGTTTGGAGGCCAAGAGGTCATGGGCAAGTTCAAGACGATTTGTGTCTACTGTGGGAGCAAACCAGGGAATAGACAGATTTTCAGTGATGCAGCTCTTGAGCTTGGAAGAGAACTTGTAAGATGACCTCTCTCGCTCTCTCTAACTTTCTTTCTTTTGACATTTAAAAAAATTGGGTACATGTTTTGGGGATCATTTAATGGCCATTTACAGGTGCAGAGAAAGATAGATTTGGTATATGGAGGAGGGAGCGTTGGGCTTATGGGGTTGGTTTCCCAGGCTGTTCTAAAAGGTGGATGCCATGTTCTTGGGTAAGAGAAAAAGAACTGATTTCTTCTTCATCAACAGATGTAGATTTTAGATTTCTTTCTCTTGAGTGATGTGATACGATTAGTATTGCTGGTATTGTGATAAAGGAAATAATCTGATATAGTGGGCAGCATTATTATATCATCACATTACTGTCTTCCTCTCTGATTAGTCTTCTTTTGCATTCTAGAGTTATCCCAGCTGCTCTTGTTCCACTTGAGGTATAATCTCTCTCTCTCATACATACACGCACAATCACATTTTCAGTTTAAAGGTTCTACTTCTATAAATGGTGGTGATTGGTGAGGAATTGGGTATCAGATATCGGGACAAGCAGTGGGTGAAGTACAGATTGTATCGGATATGCATGAACGCAAGGCTGAGATGGCTCGCAGAGCAGATGCTTTTATCGCGCTTCCAGGTATCTTCCGTTTCTATTGTGAATAAGAAGTTTCTTCAAAACAAAATGAAATAACAACTGTGTTACTGGTAAAGTCAATTCAAGCATTAATAATTGTGATTAAATTAATGAAGGAGGATATGGGACAATGGAGGAGTTGCTTGAAATGATAACGTGGTCTCAGCTTGGAATCCACGAGAAACCAGTAAGTTCTACTGTTTCTGCTTCTTCGTCTGTAAGTAATGAACTTAAAGCACTTTTTTTATTAGTTAAAAAAAATCTGAAACTTCAATGGCTAGCATCCCAATAGACATGGTTGGAAGTTGGGCTTCAATATTGTAATTAAGTCAGTCAAGTCTTTTTTAATCCCTTGGTCCAAGGCGTAAAGTTGGGCATTTTACTACTCTCTCCAGGAGGATGAGCAACAATGGAGGTGTTTAATAGTCGATACAGGTTGACTTGGTCTTTGAAACCAGAATGTGTTCAAGATGGATGCCTCCTCTTACATCAATCAAGCAAATATCTTATAATACAGGGGTTCATACAAATTGGACAAATTATTACAAAAAAAAAAAAAAAATCAGGCCAGAGGTCCACAGCAAATCAGAAGCAAATGGTACCAAAGTCTGAATCAGAAGCAAATCAGGCCAGAGGTCCACAGCAAACATGTTTGATGTGCTGTGGCCTGTGTGACTGAGACTCCTTACCTGTTGTCAAAAGACAGCATCTATTGGTTCAAATAGCCGATTCAGACACTCTTCCTCCATAGGCCATGTTCCTTCAGATAATGCTCCCCCCTGACCCATTTTTTTCTCAGCTCTACCTTTGCATCTTGAATGTAGTAGACTTTTCACAGTGTTCAGCATGACCCAGAAACTTGTAGGTTGAACCATATATAATTTTCGTTCACTTATGAATACTATAACAACAAATAATAATTATAATAATAAAAAGACAGCTCATGGTCAGAGGTCCTCTAATTGTATTTCTAATTCTGGATCTTTCATATACAGGTGGGTCTCTTAAATGCAGATGGATACTATGACTGCTTACTTGGACTGTTTGACAAAGGTGTCCAGGAAGGCTTTATAAAGCCTTCATCAAGGAACATTGTCATCTCTGCAAGGACCCCTGGAGAACTGATACAGAAAATGGAGGTATTCTCATTTTTCAAGTAATATCAAACTTTGTTGACTGTATTCTCATCAAGGGTTGTCCTGGTTTATTCTTTGAAATCCAAAGATTCTACACAATGATTTACGATTACCAACTCTGGAATATTTCATCCCCTCATTAGGCTGAACTAAGAAATACACTTGTATAATAAACAATAGCCATCTGATGAAAAGCATTGAAAACACAAATATTACCAATATAATTCCAGTATTTGGTGAACGACTATAATCAAATAAGCAACTAAAAGCAGTTGTGGAAACTGATCTGGTATTTATATTCATCCTCTTAGTATAATCTTGACACTATGGCCCACCCAAGAGGTAGGCTCATCAGCAGTTATGCTGATCGGTCCAAGGATATCAATGGAAGATATGTTCCTAAATAATCTCCCTGTTGATTTAAATAGTATAGATGTGATGGAACTGTGAAGATTGAAAGGTCTGATCCTCCGTATTCTATTGTTGTTAACTGCTCTTTATGGCTTGTGTAGGAATATATCCCAATTCATGACCAAGTTGCACCAACCAAAAGCTGGAAAGTGGTAGGACCAACCATGCCAAAAATGTAGCCGCTACTTCCTTCAGCAATCTTTCAAAGAAAATTTGTTGTTTCTTTTGTACTTCATTTATTCAATCTTAGTACAAGAGTTTGTACTTCAGATTACAAAAACCGACCAAAACTTGAAACTGAGGGAAGGCTGAGAGTGGAAGAGATTGTTCTGTATTTGCCAAATAATGAGTCAAGTGAAGGAAGCACAAAGCCTGTGGTTTGAAATGTCAAGTTGGACCTTTGAGAACTAATTACATTAAGAAACCACTCATCATTCAACTGCAGTCATTTCAAATCCATAGCTTCCAAATGTATCATATGTTCATGAGTAGGTAATGTACAAATTCATCCACCGAGTTCAATCTGCCACTGTAGGCCCATCTGATACAGCCTGAAAAAGAGATATGCATTGTGAATTGCAATATAATCCATCCTTCATAGATGGATTCACTGCACCAAAAGCAGCAAGCGATCTAGGAGTAGTAAATCAAGCTCATTGACCAATCCATTCTTCTACATGAATTTTCAAAATCCCATACAGGTGCTGAACAGGTAAAAAGAATTGATCCAGATAACCCTGAATTTATCATCAATCCTTACTTATCTTGCATTTCTACTCTTGTTTTTCTTTAAAAAGATAGCCAGAAAAGAAAAATAGATGAAGGGACTTTGTCTCACATTCAAAGTATCTCAAAAACAGATAAATGGATATAAATCAAAAGAAACTCAATTGTGAAAACTGTTAAAACATATCATACAGAAGCAAACTAGATACAAACAATGTGGTGGGCAAATGAGTAATGCAAACAACTCAATAGGCTGCAAAGGATCTTCTCAATATGTTAACCCCAAAATTGAATAAAGAAAATAAAACATTGAGAAATTGACCAAGAAGTCTTACAACTTTTCCATTCTCCACATCAATTCCATGAAAGGGTCAGCACGTATTGATACCATCCTTGCAATCCTTGGTCAAATTATAGAATGTCTCTACGCGTGTCTTTGCCCTGTACAGGACCTCAGTGTCCACTGCAACTCTCATATACCCATCAAACTCAACTGGCTTGCCACCATTCAAGAGCTTGGTCTCGTTGTACCACTCACTGGTATTTCCCCATAACTCCTTGTAATCGTCAAGCAGATGGACCTTGTATTGAGACCTCAACTTATCAAAATAGTTATAGAAGGGTTCATTAGTGGCAATATACAGATTCCTCCAAGGCTGAACCATCCCTTTGAGCTTCTCAAAGAGGGCAGCTGGAGATGTATCGTTATCCAAATGTGGCCAGAGCTCCTTATTCTGTGCTTTCGCTCCTCGGACAACATGAACTGCATCAAAATCCCAGTCCATCCGCCCACTAATCTCAGAAACTATATTCATCAGTCTCTTTGACTTCCACACAGCATGCCAGGGTCTCTGCACATACTTCGCAACCGGCCCTTCACAAACTCTGTACCAGTAATTCTCTGGCTCTGGTGCATCGAATTGCCTCCATATAATCGTGTTCTTATCCTTTTTAAGCTGCATTGGCGTGATCTTGTAGCTTGCAACCTTTCTAACGGGGATCTTCTTCTTACGGGTCTTATCCCATTTCCTCCAATCCCTGAGAAATTCGCCTTCCTCAACAATTGAAGCCTCCTCCTTAAGATGCTCAAAATCAAAATAGTACCGGAAATCCTTCCCCTCCTCATCCATTCCACTCGGATTATTATACTGTGCAGACAAGCACATACCTAGATCCATCACAAATGTTCGATTCAAGAACTGCGCCTCTCCTAGACCACACAAGAAACTCCACAGGAAATGGTTCATCCCCTTGCAATAATCCCCTCCACGCGAGTAGTACAAGTACCTTCCCTTCGAGAATGCAACTTCGGATCCAACCGTCGGGATCGTGTCATTGATCTCGTCGTCGCGAACCGGTGGAGGATTTGGATTCTTAGGACCTCCCGTGCTCAGTGTCGAATTCAACTTAGGCCTCTGTCGCCTTGCATTGATCCCAGAATGCCATCGGCCTGCGCCGGCAACCACATAGCTACAGTCCTCTTTAACGCCGATTCTAAACCTCCTGAAGTCCCTGTACTTGCGCCAAGATTTCTCCTTCTTGTTCCGGAACCTCCAAGCCACGTCGCACTCGTTGGGCTTCGACCCGTTAACCGGTGTCTGATAATCCAAGAACACAATTGACTTGAAGACCTTGAGATTGAACTTCTCAATCACAACCAAAACACGCGGATCCGAACAATTCACAGCTTCTCCACAGCTGGATACAGGGGGGGTTGAGTTCTTCAGTTTCTCCTCGCTTTTCTCGACTACAGCTTCCGTTATTGGAAGAGCCGCGAGTGGTGCTGCAGCAGGGGAGACAGCGACCAGATCTTCGCCGGTTGTGAGGACTGAAGTGTCGGTTTTGAAGGTGGCGTTCTCGACCTCAGTGAATGCCCTGGTGAGGGCCTTGGAGGACTCGAGCCAGGGGTCGGGAGGTTGGTACGTGATGGCGATTACGGTAAATACAAGCACAGAGAAGACGAAGACGGAGAAGCAGACATTGCTGATGAGTTTTATGACGTTCTGCCCTATTGGGTCTGTCGAACTCGTTTCTTTCATGGACGTTTAAGGATTTGCGAGAAGAGAAGCCTAATTCCGGAATGTCAGCTAGATCTTCAAATAGAAGCAGAAGAAGATGAAGATGAATTCAAGTGGAAAGAGAACCAGGAAAGAAAAATGAATGAAACCAAGTAAGAAATTTCTGGGGTTGGTTCGGTTGCTTACCACTCACATTACCTTAGATCTGTGGGTACAAAACGTTCCAAAATTTTTTCTGTGGATTTTTCTCTTTCTATTTTTTTTTTAAAGGTTTTGTTGGAAGGTAGGACTTAGGAGAGAATCACAATTCACAGCAGGGGAGAGAGAGAGTAAGGAGAGTGTAGAGTTGCAGACTGTGATGTGATGAGCCGACGGTCCCGTCCGTCCTAAGCAATAAAACGAGTTTTGCAACGCTGTGCACAAACAACAAGAAGACACGCAAGCAAACAAAACTGAAAAATTAGGTAACGAGTCCCACTCCCACCAAATTTTTAAGGCGAAATACCCAAGCGTTGCAGAAGCTCGTTGCTTACGTGCATTTCTTGTAAAGTTGGGATTTAAGTAACTACCGAATGGTTTTCAAGCCTCAAGCGTAGCGAGTTCAACTTTCAAATCCAATCTGTTAGTGCTTACTGCTTAGTGTCGGTTTATAGACCTGGGCCGGGCGGGTTTAGGGCAGGCCCAGGCCAACTTTGAGTGTTGAGTCCAAATGAGCTAACGCAGTAACGCAGGCCACTGGCCACTACAAGTCTACAATACGAGGTCATGGTAGGGTTGTATTTATTAATGAGTTGGCATTACCGAGCTTCCAGAACTGGTACGTAAGAGTCCTTGGTCATCCGCCTGAATTTTCTACGGTTCTACACTATAACTATAACGTGGGCAGCAGGCAGCAGGCACCAGGAATTGTGTCGGTTGCTTACTGCTGCGAACACAAGCTACGTGACCAATCATGTGTGAACCCAAGCGTACACAACCCACATCATTGTAGGTCTTTTATATGGATGGAATAATGGAACACTACTGTGTTAAATTCTAATTGGTCACGTAACCGAGTCCGGATCTGGTCCCAACACCCACTGTAGCTGTACATTGAGAACGTCACACCGGTCACCACGAAGGACAAGGGATTGGTTGTTGGGATGCTGTACGAGTTGGAACTCAACTAGATCCATACTCCACATAACCAGGGTGGCACATTTGTGTTGGCAGCAGAACCAGGGAAACGAGGCAGCGTTTTCTTCTTCTTCTTCTCCCTTTTTATTAACGTGAAAGTAAAGGTTTTGGTAACGCATTAATGGAAGTTAACATGTAACTTTCAGAGTTGTTGGAGTGGAATTTACGCCATCAAAACCTTGTTTTTTAGCTAGGTATCATCAAATGCAATTCATTTCATTGATATTATAACCTTCATAGCGACATGATCGATACTTTGCTTCTTTATTTTCTACAAACTAAGGAATTGGGAAAAGACCTCCAAAGTTCTAAATACTTTTTTTTTTTTAAAAAATGTATCCACGTATATATATATAGAGAGAGAAGATATGCCCCCCCATGGACATTTTAATCCTTGACGGCGCTTTCTGAAAACCTCTCCTAATGACTGACGTCTGAATAATTGACATGACCAAAATAGTCATTCTTCACTTGACATGACCAAAATAAATGCCCACTGGATGACCAATTGACCATTATTGGTTTAGTAATTGGAATTGATTACTCTATAACTGGTTGGAAGACTTTCAAGAAAATGATTAAATATGTTGCAGATATTGTAAAAGAGGTGAGAGTATTAATTTTAGTCTTTCTAACTCAACCATACCATAGCTACTAAACACTAATAGCTTAATTTCAGTACACAAATGGAGGGGCAAGGTGTATGAAGTTTTGGTGATGTAAGGGTATATATGTTTGCACATCAATGAATATGATCAATTAGTGAAATGGCCATCTCATACGAATGCATGGTTGTAATCATGGAAATAGAAATTCTTTGTACATGAAATGTGAGAGCCACCTTGAAGATGCAAAGCACAGAATAGAATTGCCACAGAAACCACTCTAGTCTGTGCAATGGTGGACGTAATCAGAGCATGCTCTGCTTGATGGCTGCAACAATCCCAATCAAAGCAATACAAGTAATTTGCAGGACTACTTCCAGCACTTTGAGACCCTTCAGTGCACCACGGCAGTTCACCACATGAGACCACTGCCTGCGGCAAAATAAGGCCAACAACTCAATCATCCATGTGAACATATATATAGTATCTAGTAATTAATACCATGTAGCTCTATGTATCAACATATTTACATAAATACATCATCATCTAACCCTTGTCGCAACTACCCAATTATATATATGGGGTTGGCTAAATGAATCTTTTTTTCTTCATTTTTTTCAAATATCTAGTACGAAAAGACAAATCAGGATCTATGCATCTATGAACATGAGAGTTTGGTAAAAGTTTTAATACAGGCTGCCAACCTGTTACACATCACTTCCTTTATTTGGACTTGGGATTGGCAGGGTAAGACAAGCTCACACTGGTTGCCTTGTTTGGCGCATCTTTTCAAGTGGGCTATCAGCTTTTTAGAAGCCCAAAAACTCAATTTTCAATCTTTCTCCATTTGGTTGGAAGAAGATCTTTCCACTAAAAACTCGACCTTGACAAGACGCAAGAAATTCCATTCAAGTTTATTTTGGGAAGTTAAAAATGGAGCTTCTCACCTTTTTTTTTTGCCTACTCAAATATCATCTTCATGAAAAAAAATGTACTTCCAACCAAACGATATTTAAACTATCAAAATCGTTATATAAAAAAAGCTCACTACATCATGTTCCCTTGCTCCAAGAGCTCACATTTAGATTAGATGTGTGCATCTATGTATCTATAATGGACATATACATGGTAAGTTAATTATTACCTGTCCATTAAACTGCTCTTTAGGAGGTGTTGGGGGAAGGGATCCGTCGAACTTGGCTGCCCAATCAACTTGACCGACCACCCGAGTACTTTGTCAACCATTATATGAAGGAAATGACATGGCCATCTGACTTTGTTGGCACAAAACAAGCCTTTTTCCAATTGGATGGCCCAATCTCATGTATTTTACGCTCCTACATAGAAAAACACAAAGGTTCTAACTCCAAATATGAGAAATGAAACCACTTTTACCAATCCAATCACTTCAGAAAACACCAACTAACAGAAAAATTTCCTCAATTCTTCAAAGTTTTTTTTTTTTTTTTTTTGTAGATGATCAGGTAAATTAATTTCCTTAATATTACAGTATACTTGTACATGGATTTTCCCTGAAAGAAAATTAAGGCCCCGTTTGATTTGTGGGAATAAGCTGGAATCGGAATGGGCTATTAAGATTCCAACTGTTTGGTTGGATGGAATTGGAATCCTATTTCCATTCCTTTTGAAATGGCATTTCCTCATTTGAGGAATTGGCCATTCCCTGCCCCTCCCTTAAGAATGAAATCCCATTGCTGTTGATTTTAACTTTCATTCTCATTTCTGTCTGAACCAAACAGACTATGAGAATGGACCATTCCAATTCCGACTATGAAGCAAACTGGCCGTAATAATGTTCAGCCACAATGCTTTGTTTTGGAAATCAACTATAACCCAAAGTTACTGCTAGTAAACTCCAATTATATTAACAACAAGGTTCATTGCAAATAAAAAACAGAAGAGACAAGAATTAACATGGTTCAGCAATCTGTGCCTATTTCAACAGACGATCCTGTGAAATTTCATTATATTCTCAACTGGAGGTACAACCATATCTTTATACCTCTAGCTAGTATCTGAAGAAAAGAGTTTCTCCTCTCTAAGTTCTAATTCATCAACACAGCAGGCAGTAGAGAAAAATTAAAATACCCCCAAAAGGCTTAGTATAGGTAAACTTATTGAGCCAGATCTGTGGAGCCTACTGCAAATGCATGACAAGTACTTTATATTTAACGAAAAAGAGATACAAAAGGACAAATATAAATGGCTCACCTAGTGAAGAACTAAGAAATAGGCTGAGATGCTTATATTTTGTTCATGATAAATTAATACTAACAGATATCCAATGCAAGTTGGTATAGCCTCTTTTCTGATAAATTAATTACCTCCAAGTGAAGCAGATAAAGATGTGAATCTAAAAGTAAGGTTTTGTTGAATATGAGACATCCAACGCGGAAGAAGTCGATCAATCCAATACACATAGTTTCTTGGATAGGCCATTCTCCTGCACCACCAAAAGTCAAATTAATACAATGGAAAACTAAGAACACGAAAGAAACAAAATTAATTTGACATAAATCAATCTAGTCTAGTGCAGATCCATTATACATATATTAGCTTGATCGGGAGAAGAAATAAAAATCAGGGTGGTATAAATTTGGTATGGCCATTCTCAACCATTTATGTCTAACCATTGGACTTCCCCCTTCTCTATCTGCAGCCTTAACTGTGAAATGTATAAATAAATCTATGTACATGTGTACTGTTAGTGGTACAAACCTAGCTAGCTAAAAATTAATGTTGTCACTGAGGTGGTATTGTTTCAATACTCCTAATAATTAACATAATTAGTGTGTTTATCTACAAGCTCTTATCTGGATTTGGGATAGGGGGGTTCGAGTCGAGTCAAATATCTGATTATTCGAATTCGAATCAAAAAATTTAGAAGTTTGAGCTAGGTTACCTCTGATTGCAGGTCTTCCTCAGCAACTGAGGTGCCGAGCAAAGTTGACACCCTATATACATATATACATATGTATACTTGATTAGGCACAGGAGCCTTATGAATCGAGCTCTATTAACAAACGAATCTATATATTAAGCTTGAATTTGGTTTGGAGCTCGATTTAGATCGAACCAAACCAAGCTGAAACAGTCTCTCTAGCTTGGATGAATGCATCTTGATCTTAGGAAAATCTTTTAACAGGTCCTTGCCCCTCAGAGACAGAAGATGATCCAGCAAATATTTACATACCCGTATGGAAGATCTCTAAATCCCATTAAACCCGCACTTCATGGATCGTCCAACTCCGGGATATAAGGAGGTTTTTGTTTTATCAATATATCATTCTACTTGGGATCAGTGCTTTCTTGAATGTGTGAACCTGCACGTTTTGTTAATAATGTCAATTAAAGAATCTGGCAAACAGAATGGTAAATTGTAGATTACCACCCTGTGCTTTGGGGTAGTGACACTAAGCTTCCTGTACTTTCAGTTGCAGCAAGGAGTCTCCTAAACTTTCAAATTCCAATGCTTTGCCCCCTCTCCGTTAATCGTTAATCGGATTGATGGAGAAAGTTAATTTACTAAAATGCCCTTTCAAGATCATATGGATGAGAGGATGACATTTCAAAATGACAAAAAATGGCAAGGAAGAGAAAAACACATTATCTTTTTTTCACCCACTTTAATTATTGGACAAATTTCTCATTGCAAGAAAGAAGAAAGAAACAAAAATAAAGGGTTTATACAAATATACAAGAGAAAGGGCAACATAATCCCACAAATTAAGGAATGGGCAGTTTGGGGATTTAGAGTTGCTTAAACAAGCACTTTGGAGGGGGCAAAGTATTATCTGAAAGTGAAAGTTCAAGGTGGGGTCTTTATTGCAAATGAAACTTCAGCGGAGGGGAGGTGTCACTACTCACAACCCCCAAACAGGGTGGATTAAACCAATTAGCTCAGATGTTCCATATACTCTTTAGGCTCAGTTTGGAAGGAGTACAAATATTTAATAATGATATTATTATTATTATTATTATTAAGTAATTAATTTTTTGTAATTATAACATTACAATCATAATAGTAGTAGTAGAAATAATAATAATTTTATTATTATTGTTATTAAGTAATTAATTTGTTGAAATTATTATTTTTTTAATTCATGAAATAATAATGTCTTTTTAATTCATATAGTTTAAAAATATTGAATAATTGAAAGTTTTAAAAATCTTTATTAATTATCTTGAATTTATTATCAGTCCGACTTAATATGCTTCATTATTTTCAGTAATTTTTGTTATTAAGTTAATAATTTGTTGTAATTAATCTATTTTTAATTAATGAAGCAATAATGCTTTTTTAAATAATATAGTTTAAAAATATTGAATAGTTGAATTAATATATATATTAATTCATATTAATTATCTTGAATTTATTATCAGTCCGAATTAATAAGTTGCATTTTTTTCGGTAATTATTTATTATTTTCATTAATTTTTGTTATTAAGTTATTAATTTGTTGTAATTCATTTTTTGTTTAATTAATGAAGTAATAATATATTTTTAATTAATATAGTTTAAAAAATATTGAAGAATTGATAGTTTTAATAAGTTTCATTTTTAATTAATATATTTTTAATAAGTTTGAAAATATAGTTTATTAATTATCTTGAATTTATTATCAATCCGAATTAATAATGAGATATTATTAAATATAATATCAGTAATAATAATATTATTACAATCATATTAATAATAGTAATAGTAATGATTATACTATTATAATTATTATTATTTATTAAATATTGAAAAAATAAGTAATTAGTTAACAATAAGTAATTAATTATTATCAGTAATTAATTAGTATTAATTAATTAAATAGCTGTAATTAATGTCAACAAAATAATTAATTAGTTATAATTGAGTAATAAGAATATTAAATAATGATTTTAATTTCGTTATTAAATTTGAGTAATTAATTGTCGGGATTTAAAATTAGCAGTTATGGGTTTGAATGCATTCAACACGTGTAATCTGGGTCAACCCGACCCGACCCGACCCAATTAACAAATTAGGTCATCTTCTTAACCTGAACAATGCACTCTATCGCTCGATACAACGACGAATTCAAAACTGCAACAGGCATCAACTGCCAGCAGATGGATGGTTTTCACCCATTTCAACCAAAATATAGTAACTTAAACATAACAAGAATGAAAAAACTAAGAAATGAAGAATAAAAAGTACAAAAATTTTGAAGAACAAAAACACGTCATCGACTGCCCATAGCCTTTCCTGTAAACTGAACACTGAGCATGAACTCTATCTTATAAACAGAAAGCCACAACGGCTAGCCATAAATGATCGTCGGTGTTTGGCAATCATTAAAACAATAAACGTCGAATGGCCACAACAGGTTCTGTAACCTGACGACCGAGTATAAACTAAATCTATCCTATTAGCACCGTGCCATAAGGCTAGCCATAAACGATTGCCGCTGGTCGGCGATCATTAAAACAAAGATTGAAATAACAAAGAACTACTATAAAGTAATTGAAGCAACCATAAAATGAGAATGAAATAAGTATAAACCAAGGAATTTACTAACTAAAAACTATTGAAAAAATAGAGATAATACACAAACTGATTGGAAGTTGGTTGAACCAAAGACCTTCAATCCAACACCAATGCTGAAGTTAAGACTTCTCTGAGTAACAGAGTTGTTGCAAAATTCTTTGAGTTGTAGAGTTCTCTTAATTCTTTGAAGTTGGAGATGATGATGATGATGATTTTGTATGTATTTGGTTCCATGGGCATTTATAAATGAATCATTTATTGCTTTAAATGTTTATTTGAAAAATTTTATTTTAAACGTTTCTTCTTTTATTGTTTGGTTGGACATTACTTTAAACGATTCTTATTTTCCACCTAAGATTAGTATATACCACATAATCATTTCATTTCAAGAAATATTGGGCATTAGGGGAGATAAAAATTTGACATTTCCTCAAATGTTTCATGCACATAAGTCTAAGCATTTATGTTTTTTACTGTTTACTTGGTTTCATGCATAATAAACGCCAACACCTATGTGACATGCTGATGCGGTGGCATTTTTTCAATAAATGCACACGGAACCAAACATAGCCAAGTATCACTCTCATTGTTTGTTCCTTAGGATGGTTAATTGAGTTAATAGTCATTAAGAATGTGATTAGTTTAAGCAAGCATTTGGTTAAGTAATGGATGTGGGCCTTGATGGCACACTTGCTCAAAGGATAACGAGTATATGGACCCGAGGAATCGAACCAGATAGCTCAGCGAAACGTGATCAAATTTCACCTAGAATCTAGGGTTTTGGCTAATCACTTGAAATCTTAGATGGTGTTTTCTAGAATTTTACTATTATGTTGAAGCATAATAAGCAGCCTAAATCATTTTTTTCATGTGTATCTATATCCCTATACTAAAGCAAAAGGGTCCACGTCACTAACATTTTTTCTTAAAATAAGTTAATATTCTCCTAAAAATGAAAGCCAATGAACATTAGAGGGCTCCTTCTATTTTAGTTTTATTTAAGAAAACCCATATATGACACGGGCCTCATGTGGCAAGGTGCTAAAGAGCACAGTCTGACAGTCAAAGAAAACATATATTTTCCCCTCCTCAGGTTTTGGAGAAAGCAAGAATGGCTTTTTATGAGAATATAAAAGTTCATCAAATTGAACTCGTTAGAGAATTTTCTAACAAGTGGCGACCGATTATTTGGAAATCCCCAAAATGCAACACGATCAAAATTAATTTTGATGCATCTTGTATAAATGGTTTCAATTGTGGTGTGGGGACCATTGCTAGAAATTATGGTGGAAAAGTGTTAGATATAAAGGCATATTTTTTGGGTGAAGCCACAACAAATATGCTAAGGCCTGGTTTGCATGGAAGCCCATAATCTGGCTTTAAACTTTAAAGATTTTTCCATAACTCATCATTTCCCGTCTTCGTGGAGAAACTCAACCGCCGAAGAGCACACAAAACATCACTGCACTGCTTTGAAGACCTAGTTCGCGTTTGGTTTAGAGTACCAGCATGTCTTTCGTGAGGCTAATAAAGTTGCTGATTGACTTGCTCATCAAGCTCAATTCAGTCCTTCAGACTCCTTAAATTTTAATGTCCAGGATCTCCCTCCCGCTCTAGGTTTCATTTGTAATTGTGATTCTTGGGGACATTCTACCCCGGGGCTTGTGTAGCACTACTTGGATTTATCAAAAAGAAAAAGAAAACATTTTCGATTTCCTATGATAGTGCTTTAGATCAATCAAGGCAGAAGAAGGCCTCCTTACCATATACAATCTAATAACTCAGCCAAACTAGGCCAAATTTCAAATAGGATCAATCCTGTTTATTGCATCTTTGAAATCGCAGATTAAGCTGATCAACTTGCTAGATGGGCAGTTCAAACCATCACAAGTATTATTTTACCAACCTAAAACCCTATATAGGTGGGACCAACATTGGGTAATGGCCTTAATCTTTTATCGTTTTAAAGAGAAATTATTTTACTAACTTAAAACAAGTGCCCGGTGTCCACCAGCGATAAAGTTCAAAAATTAGGGAAGATCTTTGCTGTGCTGAAAACTGATAAAAGCATACAAATAACCAACTGTTAAGTGTTCATTTGACCCGATAAGCCATAGTGTAAGAGGACATCAGAGCTTTTTGGATATTTACTAAAAACTCTCTTATTTATTGGTGTGGCATTATTTTGGTCAGTTTTTACAACAGGAAGGTGAGAAAGACCCTAATACCCCTTCATTTTCTGCAATAAATACAAATGCTCGTTTTAAGTGACCAAAATGCCCATCATATATTTTGTCTACCCATTTACCACTTCAAAACTTCTAAGTTCAAACATGGGATTATGATGCTAAGTTGGCCCCATTAAAGTTTTAGAAGTTCCCTACATACTACCCCTCCCTGGATGGCCCATTGGTTTAATTAGTAACGGAAATTGATTACTCTATTACCGTTGGAAGACTGTCAAGGAGAAGAAAATCAAAATGGTAACTATGTTAGTTGGAAAAGAGGTGAGGGTATTTCGATCTTTCTAATTCAACCATATTTACAAAGCATAAGGGCTCTGTATAACTTTCAGTGTGCAAATGGAGGGGGCAAGGTGTATACAATTTTCCTGATGTAATGGTATTTGCAGAATCAATATCAAGTGAAATAGCCATCTCATACGAATGCATGGTTGTAGTCGTGGAAATAGAAATTCTTGTAGATGAAATGTGACAGCCACCTTGAAGCAGCAAAGCACAGAACTGCCACAGAGACCACTGTAGTCTTTGCAATGGTTGACACCATGTTCTGCTTGATGGCTGCAACAATCCCAATCAAAGCAACAGAGATAACTTGCAGGACTACTTCCAGCACCTTGAGACCCTTAATTGCAACACGGCAACTACTGCAATTCACTACGTGAGACCAGTACCTGGGAAAAATAAGGGCAACTCAATGATGTGAAGGTTGTTATAAAAAGCAAAAGATATAACCATGGTATATAATAAGATAGCATCTAGCTGTATATATGATATATCTACGGAATTATATAAATATATCATCAACATCATATCTAAGCCTTGTTCCATGTATACAGGGTCGGCTACACGAATCTATTTCATCATTCCATTCTGTTAAGCATCCAGCATGAAAAGACAAATCGGGATCCATGATCATGAGAACTTCGCAAAAGTTTTAGTGCTGGCTGTCAACCTGATGCAACTCTCCAGTCCTCCTTTATCTGGGCTTGGGAATGACAGTGTAAGACAAAATCACACTGGTGGATTAATCAGATAAATATATAGGCCCATATAAACACATTGACATCATGATGCACATTCATGTTTGACTGGCTCCAAGAGCTCACATTTACATTGTGCATCTGTGTATCTATATAGGCATGTGCATGTACAGTTACCTGTCCATTAACTGCTCTCTAGGAGGTGTTGGTGGAAGGGCTCCATCGAACTTGGCTGCCCAATCAATTTGACCACCTGAGTACTTTCTTAACCATTTTCTGAAGGCAATGACAAGGGCATCTGACTTTGTTGGCACAAAACAAGCCTTTTGCCAATTGGATGGCCCAATCTCATGTATTTTGCGCTCCTACATAGAGAAACACCAATCAAAGAAAGAAAGGTTCTAAATCCAAATATGAGAAAAGATAATTGACTCCAGGAAACAACAAATAACAGAATTTTCCTGAATCCTTCAAAGATTTTTCATAGATGAGATAAATTTCATCCATATTACAGTATACTTCTACATGGATTTTCACTGAAAGAAAATTAATGGTGTTCAGCATAATGCTTTATTTTGAAAAGCAACTAGCTCAAGGTTACTAGCTATTAAATTCAAATAATTAACATCAAGGTTCATTGCAAATAGCCAAATATAGCATTACCAAGAAATAAAATAAAATGAAATTTAAAGATTTAAAACTAAAACTAGAAAAGAAAAATCCATAAATGCAAAAACAACACTCAGAGGAGACAAGATTTAACATGGTTCAGCAATCTGTGCCTAAATCCACTGATGACCCTGTGAAATTTCACTATAGTCTCAACTGGAGGTACAACCATATCTTTCTACCTCTAGCATCTGGAGAAAAGAGTTTCTTCTCCTCTGTAAATTCTAATTCATCAACGATATAGTACACAAAAATACCCCCAAAAAACTGTATGGATAGCTGCACGACAAAATTTACCAATTATTTTGGCACCGTTTTTTTTTTTTTTTTTGCTTCACATACCCAAGCTGCAAATATGTTGAGGTTGTAAAACCTCAAGAAATACATTACAAAGAAAGAAACATAGAGTAGAGAAGCAATCATTTCCATGTAATATGTTCTCAAATGGTATAGTCATTAACAGCCTCTTTCACTCCTTGTAAGCAGCACATAATTTGTAGTAGTGAGACTCATGCATAGAAGATTCAAGAAGAAATAAATGAAAGTCACATGATTTTCAAGGCCCCCACCCTCTATGTACCTAAAGAAGAGACATAAGATAATAAGAATGGAAAGATTTTTTATGCTTCTGTACATCAAAATTTATAGCAATCTCTAGGATACAAACTAGGTAACAAATCTCCCTAAATAAAGGAAAAAATAAAACTGATTTCTAAAAATATTTGTACAGCTCACAAATCTCTCAACTACCTAAAATAG